GAAAAGGTGATGTCCTGTTGGTTGTAATGCCACGTAGGAGGCGATATCATACTCGCCGAGGGATCCAGCCCCAACCCCTCACATCTATCTGTTTTTTTTTTATTGAAAATCCGATCGAAAAGGTTATGTCCTGTTGGTTGTAATGTCACGTAGGAGGCGATCTCATACTCCCCGAGGGGATCCAACCCCAACCCCTCACATTTATCTGTTTTTTTTTTTTTTTGAAAATGCGATAAAAAAGGTGATGTCCTGTTGGTTGTAACGCCACGTAGGAGGCGAGCTCATACTCGCCGAGGGGATCCAACCCAAACCCCTCACATTTATTCTTTTTTTTTTTTTTTTGAAAATGCGATCGAAAAGGTGATGTCCTATTGGTTCTAATGCCACGTAGGAGGCGTGATCATACTCGCCGGGGGGATCCAACTTTAACCCCTCACATTTATCTGTTTTTTTTTTTTTGAAAATCCGATCGAAAAGGTGATGTCCTGTTGGTTGTAATGCCACGTCGGAAGCGAGCTCATACTCGCCGAGGGGATCCAACCCCAACCGCTCACATTTATCTGGTTTTTTTTTTTTTTTTAATACGATCGAAAAGGTGATTTTCTGTTGGTTGTAATGCCACGTAGGAGGCGAGATCATACTCGCCGAGGGAATCTTACCCCAACCCCTCACATTTATCTGTTTTTTTTTTGGGGAAAATCTGATCGAAAAGGTGATGTCCAGTTGGTTGTAATGCCATGTAGGAGGCGAGCTCATACTCGCCGAGGGGATCCAACCCCAACCCCTCACATTTATCTGTTTTTTTTTAATTGAAAATTTGATCGAAAAGGTGATGTCCTGTTGGTTGTAATGCCATGTAGGAGGCGATATCATACTCGTCGAGCAGATCCAACCCCAACCCCTCACATTTATCTGATTTTTTTTTTGTTGGAAAATCCGACCGAAAAGGTGATGTCCTGTTGGTTGTAATGCCACGTAGGAGGCAATATCGTACTCGCCGAGGGGATCCAACCCAAACCCCTCACATTTATCTGTTTTTTTTTTTTTTGAAAATGCGATCGAAAATGTGATGTCCTGTTGGTTGTAATGGCACTCAGGAGGCGAGATCATACTCGCCGAGGGGATCCAACCCCAACCCCTCACATTTATCTGTATTTTTTTTTATTGAAAATTCAATCGAAAAGGTGATGTCATGTTGGTTGTAATGCCACGTAGAACGTGAGCTCATACTCGCCGAGGGCATCCAACCCCAACGCCTGACATTTATCTGTATTTTTTTTAATTGAAAATCCGACCGAAAAGGTGATGTCATGTTGGTTGTAATGCCACGTAG